TCGCGTCACACATGGTTCGAATCCACCAACCGCTGGAGATTCCGACGTTTCTCGCCATGTTTGACGATGGGTGGAATGGTCTACCACCCCTCTCTTCCCTTCTATGCTATGGCTGCTATCGTTTGCGGCTCTCTATCTCGCTCTCGAATCCCTCCCTACGTAGTGTTGCAGACGTTACGCGTCTTCCCGTCCATCTGGAGCAAGCCCAGTTCTTTTGTTCTGCTCCCCCGCACCGCCGCGTTTCACATCGTGACCATCCCCGAAAAAGGAAGTCTTTCCAAGGTCCAACGAAGGGGAGAGGGGTCGGCTTGTTGCGCGTATGTGCACATGTGTGTGTATGTGTGTGTCTGCATGTTTGTAGAGACCGCCGCGGGAGACTCGGGGGTGGGTGACAAACGGCTTGCTCGTCATCGGGAGGGAGGCTCGTTCCAGGCGGGGAGGGGTATCAGCGATCGACGTTCGGCCGGTAAATCTCCCTTCAATGATGTTCGGATCTGATAGCATGGTGCAAGGAGGGAGAGGGGAGGGGAGGTGGGATTTGTGATCTCTGCCGTCGGAGACGGTCGGGCAGCGCATGATCCGGTCGTTCATGGTAGTAAACCGTAGCTCTAGCTTCTCATTGCCTGATCGGCCGCTCATTTGACGCTCGAAAGAAGGCATTATACCGAGGGAAAGGACTGCCAAACTCGTCCAATTACTTGAAGTTTTGCCGCGGCCCTTTGCCCTTGTCGTTGGTTGGTTTCTTGACACCTCCCACTCGGCATTGAGCTCTAGGACGGGCTCCCACCCAAGACGGGAGGAGAAGAATCTCTTCTTCCCGCACACCGGCGACGTCCTATTCGGTTCGGACTAAACATGTCCCCCGGTGGCGGGCGGGCGTTGGCCAACTACGCGTGCGTGTTCGGGGATGGGAGCCACAAGTATTCGGAGGTCAGAGTGACCCACGCCGCTTCGTTTCGCCCTCCCGCTGTCTCGAGTGTCCGATATATTGGACCCTCTTCTCTCGGAAAGCCTCTTCCAAACTGCACTGCCTTCTTCCATTCCGTTCACGGTTGCTATATACGACCCCACACCGCGGCCTGGCTTCTTGGCCCGGCTTCAGAGGAGGGGGGGGGGGGGGAGGCAGGGTGGAGGCTGAGAAGACGGGATGGGAATACGTGGATTCGTGTCGAGACAGGCACGTTCGGGTTTCCCACGTAAACAGGTTCGACGTCGTCATGCGTAGTTACAGAAACCACGTGGAACGGGGCTGGGCCAATCTGGCCTTGGCTTCGGATTTTCCCCTCTCATGCCACCTTCAGATGTGTCGACATCGTTTGGTGATGCCGGAGAAACTAGCATCATGTTTTCCCGTGGATGTTGTTTACCTCTTACCAAGATTTCCTGTCTCTGTGCCAGGCACGCACGGCACGCTGTAGATCATGAAACTCTCAATCCGATATATATATGGGGGCCAAGTGGCGAAGAAACGTTGCGGGCGTCTGTGAACTGCCGTCCCAAGTTACGTGTAGATCAGTTCTGGACCAGGCTTCGTTCGGATGACTTTTTTTTTTGGTCTTTGTTCCTGGGGGAAACTAGGCATGACCGGACGACATCATCATCGTATGTCATCTTAATCCTAAATCAAGAAGTGTAGAACGGATGATATTGATAGTTTTTGGCCCATCTTGGAAGCCATGGAGGTCCTCATCCAAGCTTTTCAGAGTTTGGCAGGAATGTCGCCTTCTTGGTATTGCTTCATAACCCCTTATGTCATGTATTGGCTTCTCTACCTTGCGTGAATGTCATATATACACCAACTAAGTTTGCTGCTTCTCTGAAGCTCGGCCGGTGGGAGCATTGCTTTGCCGAGACTTCCTGTCTGGTGATGAATGGCCAGCAATTGGGACCCATAGCAGTGTTCTTCTCACCATGGTTTACGCGACCAGATGTTGCAGGTTGATGAATAGCTCGAAGCTGGGATCTAAGCTTCAAGGAAACGCAAGTATCTCCATGCGTCTGTTAAATGTACATATGTCGTTCGTTCAACTCACCATTCTGAGAATACATCTCGTGCGAGAAACATCCAGTTCCCTGCGCTACCCCTTTTCGAGCGTGGCGAATAGACGTTATCAACCCGCGACTTGGTTTTCTTTTCACGTGCTGTGACTATGGCTGACCACTTACTCAAGATGTTTCCATGATTCCCACGTGTTTGATGTGTTTCTTAAACAAATGATAGTGGGCTATGGATGGTTCCAAGGCCTGACATCCCGTCCCATCCTGAAGTCCAGCCTTGAGTACTCTGGGGGTAAGGAGTCGGGGGGAAACCTTAGCCCCTAATTGCACCTACTTTCGAAACTTGCCGCCCCTTGAGCTTGGAATTTGCTGCTGTAGTCGAAACTTGGCTTCCAATGAACGAGTTCAGAATGGATTCTGTCTATGTTTTGGAGGGAGCTGCTTGCGGCGAGTTGGACGCCCAAGCGTGTACACTCTTTCGTAGCTCGAAGGCATTTGGAAGATTTCAATATGATTTTGCAAAGATACTTGGGTCTAATGGTAGTGTTATGTGCAGATGAAAGCAGCATGGGATCCTCTAGCAAATATGTCTGTGTCACACTTCTTCCGAGGTGATCATAGGCGCCCAGAAAGACTTCCCCTTTAGCGTATACTAGCATATACGTATCTCCTTGACTGAATTCTGCAACAAGATTCTTTAACTATACGGAGCTTTTGCTGAAAAAGGGCACCCCTTTAGACCGTTCAGCCGCATTACCAGCCGCATCTTGAATCGTGAATTCGTCAAGGTCAGAGCCGCCCAAGGTTTTTGGCCAAACCTTTCGAACCTTCTGGCTCATGTCACGCCTAACTTGGCCCGTAACTCTGGCAAGTATGTCACTCATAAGTAGTACTTTATACTTTAGTACTCATTATCATTTGAGAATGTACGAGGATATGGGTTCGTTTTTCGCCATTATTTTGAGATGTTCAAGTCATCAAATGATATTAACGCATCCCATTTGAGTGCTTGTACGAGTACTTTGCTACCTGGGGCATATATGCCCGTCATTCATCTCATCAGCTTTTGAGCCTGTCGGGTCGAACTAGAGGTATTCCCATGTGCATAGTTGTATGCCAGAGTGGGCTCGGAAGAGTCTGCTTCAAGTGAGAATACACACTTCACTTCATCAATGTAATCTGTGATTTAACGCACGTGGACATGCGTGAATTCAACGCCTTACTTCATGATGACAGAGGTCTTGTGCATTGCGATGCATCCAATTCTTGAGCTTACTACTGAGAACTATCTATCACTTTTCGTATTAGATGGTCCGACTTATTAGTCAAATTTGCTCATCATCAACTCCAACATCCCATCTCTGCTTTAGTAGTCGTAAAATCCCTTTCCGCTCTTCTTTCCCATCCAACCAGCATCAACCATCTTGCGCAGCAACACACTCGGCCGGTACTTTGAGTCACCAGTCTCCTCGTGAAGAACCTTCATAATAGCGAGGCAGGTGTCCAGGCCGATAAAGTCGGCAAGCTGCAGAGGGCCCATGGGAACATTGGTGCCGTTCTTCATGATGGCGTCGATTGACTCCTTGTCGCCGACGCCGGTCTCCAGGCAGATGATGGCTTCGTTGATGTACGGCATGAGGATACGGTTCGCGAGGAATCCGGGGGAGTCGGCGGATACAGAGGTGACCTTGCCCATGGCCTTGCAGAACGCAACGGCCTTGTCCAGCGTCTCCTGGCTGGTCTGCAGACCGCTAATGATCTCCACGCCCTTCTGGATCGGAACGGGGTTCATGAAGTGGGTTGAGACGACACGGGAGCTCGCGGAGGTGTCTGTCGGGTCTTGGGTGGTGGAGGCGGCGATGCGGGTGATGGAGATGGATGAAGTGTTGGTGGCCAAGATGGCATGCTTCGGGCAAACCTCAGCCAGCTTGGAGAAGATGTCGAACTTAAGCTTGGGGATTTCAGGAACGGCCTCAATGACAAAGTCCACATCCGACAGCTCATCAATAGACGTGGCTGGCGACAACAGTGAGCGGGCCTTGTCGGCCTGTTCCTGTGTGATTCTGGACTTGGAAACATCCTTTGCAAGAAGCTTTTCTGTTGAGGTGTTAGCGAATGAAACTCGTTACCAGTGTGTCGTTGAACACTCACCCGCAAATGCAAGACCCTTATCCAAGGCCGTCTTGTTTGCATCGACAAGTGTTACGGGAACTTGAGCTCTCTGAGTAGCCACAAGCGCGATGCCGAGTCCCTAGATTTGAACCCGTCAGGTTTCTGGATGCCGCATATTCACATGCTAATTCGCGGGTTCTCTCACCATCTGCCCAGCACCGATGACACCCAATCGCTTCACTCCCCCTGTTGCAGAAGCAACTCTGGGAGTAGAGCTGAACGTCCGAAGCTGCCCTGGAAGCTTGGCCACCGCCCGTACGCGAGCAATTGAAGTCGCCATAGTTATCGAGGTGAGCGAAACGTGAGTGTGCAGGGATTAAGATCTCGGTGATATTCGAGTAAGCCCCGCTGTGGCCGCGTGAGGGATTGAATGGAAGTTCGCGAGGAACAAGTGAGCAGGATACAATAAGCGAAAGGGAAGTAAACCTCTACGAGTCTGATTTGAAGTACTGTTAAGATCGAAGTACAGAACGGAAGTCCGTGGACAGATGTCGTTGCTTGTCCAGGGCCATGATGCTGTCCATGACCCGAGGTTAACCGCGGCCCCCTAATGAGCCCAAAGCCCAGAGCTAAAGCAGGTACCTTTCGGTCCGCGCGCCATACATGGGCCTTATCTAATCTTCAGTATCGATAACACAAAATGTGGGACCAATTAACGCAACTTTCTGTTAGGACGCGCTGCATCGCGCTGGACGCGTCGCTAGGTGAACCAGGGCAGGTCTGTCCCTCCAAGGCTTTTCTATCATCGTCACTATTGGCGTGTAGATGGAGACACCACCAAGCCTCAATTGCAATCTACCATTGTCTTGAATACCGCCAGAACCGACAAGATGGAGTTGCCGGACGGGTCAAAAGAAGTTGTCCACCCTGAAGTTCGTGCGCACATCAACAGTCTTGTGTCCGCGGTACGTTTTGGCCAGCCGAGAATTCCTCCCCAAATCGTTGTACATTGACTCTGACATGAACATAGCTCGGTGGCACCAGCGCCGACGACGATGGACGATACAGACTTGGTGACGACGCCGTCCAGGTCCTCCGCGATCTGAAGAAATGGATTCGGCACTACGACGAAAAGACCAATCGCATGGATGTAGCCCGATGCATTGCAGACTCCAACATCGTGGAAGGCGATCTTCTCCAGATCCTCGCGAGCTGGCCCGAGAACGATACCAACAACACATTCAAAGCACGTATAGCTCTAGCCTGCTTCGAGATTATGGTGCCCCTTACTTGGCCCATGGAAAGAGATGCCGAACGAATGACAGTCAATCACCATCGCCATATGCCTGTTCTCGAGCTGGCGCAAGTGGGATACAAGCGGGCCATCATCAACTTTGACGGCGCTCAAGTTCTCAATACAGCTATCCGGGCAGCTCTACCATCTATGGCAATTTCCATTGGCGAACGATCTGCCCGCGACCAGGGCATCATCAAGCTTGTGCTTTTCTTCCTCCGCAATATCGCCATGATTACCCCTCCTGCCGGTATCCAATACGATGGCGACGAGACCCAGATATCTCGCTCCACGACGATAGACGCATTTTCATTTCAGGACATCTTTGCGGTGTTGCTGATGATTGCTTCGAATATGGGCGAAGACTTCCGTACCGAGGACGTAATTCTCATGGAAGTCATTTACCACCTGGTCAAACAGGTCGAGGTCAAGAAGCTGTTCATGAATGAACAGCAATTACACAAGACGAAGGCTAAAGAGCTCTCCTCAATGATGAAGAAGGAGAGCGCGATGCGCAGTGCCTTCAACCGCAAGGCGCCCACCCGCCACAACCGTTTCGGCACCATGGTATGGATGCAGCGCGAAGACGGCCGGGTATCAACAATCACTGGTCAGGATGCGCTCGCAGACAGCGCTACGCGGCAAAAGAAACTGGACGAGTCCAAAACGTTTAAGCCACCGCGACGGGCCAAGAAGGAAGAGCTGGAATCCAAGGACCTCGGTGCCCCAGTCAAGCTCAATGCAAGGGCTAACGACCAGCTCCGAAGCTTTGTCGAAGACTTCCTTGATGCTGGTTTCAACCCTTTGTTCGTGCATGTTCGCAAGTCCTTAGACCGGGAGGCGCCCCATGTTCTGTCTTACCATCGCCGACAGTACATGTATCTTGTAGCCTGGTTTTTGGAGGCGGAGCGAACTCGTAGAAAGTCAAAACGAGACTCGAAGAAGGCAGGCGCCCCCGAAGAGGTCAGCAGCTTCAATCTCGTGGCCGGCGTGCTGGATCAAGCAATGTTCATCACTCTCACAAAGACTATGCACGACTCTTGGGAACATAAGGATTGGCCTACCCTGACGGCTTCGATGCGGTGTTTCACGCAGATTCTGCTCACGGTCCAAGAAATGACAGAGTCAGGAAACGAAGACGACGAGGAGATTGCGGAAAACACGCTGAGTCGTCTCTTCTACGAAGACTCCACACACGACTTGATTGCCAATGTCGTCAGACAATACAAGGAGCAAGGCTTCGAGTATCTCGACACCGCCACAGAGCTAGTGCATCACTTCTTGCGAATTCTGGAGGCCTACTCGAAACAAAACGTCGACATGCAAGTTCGGTCTCGTAAACGGACTCGGCGAAAGAAGAAAGCCGAGAAAGAAGCAGGTATCGATACAGTTGATAACGAGGAGAACGATGAGTCCGCCAACGACGAGGCAAATGCCGAAAAGACGTCCAAAGAGCGCAAGTTCGACTTCCATCGGTTCACATCGCGCTTTGCCCCCCAAGGTGTGGTCGATACTTTTGTCGCCTTTACCAAATTTTACAAGGATCTCGACGACTCTCAGCTGAAGCGCGCTCATCGATACTTCTATCGCATAGCCTTTAAACAAGAGATGAGCGTCATGCTCTTCCGCGTTGATATTGTGCATCTCTTTTACAACATGATCAAGGGGCCGGAACCGCTCGACAGGAACTCTACCATGTACAAGGAGTGGGAAGAACTGACCAAGCAAATCCTCAGAAAGTGCACGCGCAAGATCGAGCAGCGGCCCGAACTCATAATTGAGATGCTGTTCTCCAAGATTAGCAGCACCGCTTTTTACCTGGAATATGGCTATGAGAAACAGACTGTTTCGACATCGACACCTCGGCCCGCTGCAGAACTCGAGTTCAAGTACACTGCGGATTTGGACCGGCAAATCGCCATCGTCGTTGGCGCTCTGCTTGACAAAAATCAACAGGATCATATCTCGTGGGTCAAGAAAGTTCTTGATACTGCGGAAAAGGAGCGTGCTGCCTGGGAGGCGGCTGATTTCCTCATACCATCGGTCGAGGGCACCGACGAGGGCGCACAAATCGATAGACACCCTTTTAGTAAGTACTTCCTCAGGCAACCACACTGGTTGATCTCTCTAACATGTACCAGCTGTGCGACCGGATAATGATGCCCGCAAGACTGCCATATTTAAGAATTCTCACCTGCGTCTACTCATGAAGCTGGTTGGTTTCGAGAGGCTAGCACCGACTATCGAGGAGACGCCCCAGTCCGTATGGATCCTGCCACCAGATCTTAGTGCCAGTCTCCTTCGTGTGTATATCAAGCACATCAACGATGCCGAGTTTGATCCACCCGCCTTTGATGGTGCCAGCGCAGAGGATCAACTTCGCCGCAAGAAAGTAGCCCGAAAGCGAGCCGAGTACGATGACGACGATGATGATATTGATGACGGCTTCCTCTTTGAACCCCTGGGCCCTACCGTCCGCAAAGCTATTGACGACCCTGCTTCTAAAAAGACGAAGCGGAGGAGGCGCAGAAAAGACAGCGAAGATGAGGAGGCGCCGAATGATTCTGAGTTGGAAGAAAAGGCCCAGAAGCGCAGAGAGCGCGAGAGAGAAAAGGCGAGAAAGATCAAGAGCGAAGCGTACGTCCACGCTAGCGATGACGACACGGACGAGGAGTACGACCGTGAGTTCTTCCAACGAGAAGAGGCACAACGCTCGCGTTTGGCTCGTATTGTGGAGAAGGTTGCGATATCGGAGCCGACCAAGAGACCAGCAGCGGTGCTGCTTGATGATAGCGACGACAATGACGATGATGTCCTCGTTGTGACGAGGGGCACTCAATCTACCCGGCCGAGTGCCGACGTTGATATGGATGCCGATAGTGACGGCGAGCAGAATGGAGACAATGCTACGCCATTGAGCTCCAGTCCGTCTTCCTCTCAAGGAAAGGGATCTCGGAAATGGAGACGTATCACTCCTGAGGTAGCTACTGCTGAAGAAGGGGCGAAGGCTTCAGAGAAGGCAGATGCCGATTCGGATGACGAAGATGCGCCGGTGCCTACAGCACGCGCACGACAGCGCACCAGAGGAGGTTTCGTGATGGAGAGTAGTGATGAGGAATAATGAAGATAAGCTCTGGGCGTTTGGGTACATGGGTTTTCGGTGGTTCTAGGATGCATAGCGTAGGAAGGTATCTTGGCGATAATATCAAGTTGTTTCCCCGTCTTCACACCGTCTCTGAAGGTAATTCAGCTCGCTAGATTTCGATAGCTCGTGTTTTGTGAGTCTATGCAGATGACCTGTTTATCAAGATTTGTCTTGCTCTCTGATCGTCGGCTGACTTGAGTTGCTGAACTATGTACACGTACTTGCCAATAAGCAGCGCTCGGCCGAGGATTCATGTCGGGGAAGTCCGCTCTCTAGGAGAAGAGGTAGTTTGATAGACATTCCCTCTTGGTTTGGCGGCTTGTCTATGACCCGATTATTGGGCTCAGGCCTCTCCTACGAAGGCCCAGCTTTGAAGTGAGGCAGGTGAAAGTATGAGCTGAATTCGGAATCCGTCATGTTCCCTCCCCAAAATACGTTAGGAGACCGCTTCTATGCAAGAAATCTCCATATCGAACCTGGGCAAAGACTTATTATGTACTAGAGATAGTACAAAGAAAGGCACGTCGACATCACCTTGCGCTACCACCAACACAACTTGCGATTTACAAAAACGTGGCTTGGGAGCGCCTGATTTTGAACGAATGTAATTACTAAAGTAGCTATATTCTCAGAACATGCCTTGTGTCGTATGCATCGGCATCACATTGGTATCATCATACAAAGGGAAAAAAATGTACAAAGTAAAAACATTAGAGACTACACGCTCCACAAGACTGAATCGCAACTACTTCATGTCCACGGGGGGAGTAACGACAATGGTATCCGGACTCGCCCCAGCAAAATCAGCATCCGGCGGCGACAGCATCATCCCCGCATCGCCGTCGTCCAGCTGCAACGACTTCTTGGGCGTCTCAGACGCCTCGCGGATCTGGCTTAGTCGCCACTTGGTCGCCTCAACCTGAGGAGTGGAAGGCAGCACCGGTGCCGCCGATGTTGCACCCCCTTGTTGGCTCGAAGCCGTTGCGGCCGTGGAGCCAGACGAGTCGGATTGCACAACGACACCCTGCAGCGGCACCGTTTCCGGCCTCTGCTGCTGTTGGGCGACGATGTCTTGGACCCTGGCGTCGAAGGAGAGCAGATTCGCGGCCAGGCCCCTTACGCCGTCGCCGATGAGCTGCGGGTGATCCCAGGCTACGAGGCCCGGACGTCCTCCCGGTACGGGTATGCGGCGCACGTGGACGGCGTTGTAGGAGACGTTGGCCCAGGCGGGGCAGACGTACGGGTTCGGGGCAGGTTGGGGCGAGAGAATGTCGACGTCGTTCCGGGTCTGTGTCTGGGCCTCAAGATCGTCGTCCGCGGTTCGTCGCCCGCCGGATACGTCACCTGTCTCTCCAGTTCCTGAGAAAACTGTAATGGCCACGTTGGGCTTCTTGGACGGCTTTGGAGGCGGCGGAGTCGGCTCTTGGTGCGTCAGACAGCGCGCCCAGAGGCGCATCGCCGCCTCTGGACCGGGGAGCCAGGCCGTCTGGGTGAAGGTGATGATCTCGTCGGCCGAGAACTCCTTCTTGGCCCCGAGAACGCGGATGACTTTGAGGACGAGGGCAAGGAGGCCCACGGGGGAGTCGCATAGCGCAAAGGACGTTGTGTTCGGCTCCACCAGAGTACTGCCTGCGCCGGGTTGGAGTGAAGTAGGAAGAGGGCGCCTCCTTCCAGCTGACAACGTATGGCTGGCGTGGGTCTCTTCGTCGAGTGAGCGGAGGTCTTCACTCTGGTAGCCTAAGATGGGCGCGTGAAAGAACTTGGCGAGGGACCACTTCATCCACTCGAGTGGTGCCTCCTTGAGTGTCGGCGCCGCGAGGGACGGGCTGATAAAGTGTGCGCCGAGGCAGTTGCTGGGGTAGTGGCGGACTAGGTGGTCCGCGAGCTTCCAGTCAATTTGCGCGGGACTGGAGGCCGCGGAGGCGGTGTTGGAGACGAGGTAGTACGGATACGAGAGGCGTGTCATGAGCGTGTTGAGGAGGTCTGTTGTCGTCGGGATGACGGAGGCGTCGTCGGAGGGGAGGGCATCGCTGAAGCCGAGGCCGGGGAGGGAGGGGATGACAACGTGAAAGGGCTGCTGTAGCTGCTGCTCTCCGTCTTCAGAAGATGACGATTCTGGTTCGGTGAGCGGCTGGATCAGGTGGCCGAGGGAGAGGTTCGTGAAAGGGAATGGGGGAATCAGGAGCAGGGGGATGGCGTTGCTATGCGAGGATCTGATGTGGATGAAGTGAAGACGGACGGGCGAGGATGAACTTGGCGGGGTGATGGCTGTGCGGAACTGGGGTAGTTGATTGTTGAAGGCAGTTTCTTGTTCTCGCCAGTCGTACTTTTCGAGCCTGCGATGAGTTAGAAGACTCTTTTCATGAGTCAACGCCTCCTCTTCCGTCGAACTAATCACTTGGACGTGATCAAGTAAGACTTCGACTCACCAAAAGTCAATGAGCGGCTCGATTCGAGACTTTGGCTCCCACCAGTCCCGAGACTTGTTGGGTTCCGAGGGCTCACGAGGAAGTCTCGTGAGCTCCAATTTTTGTTTCGTGAGATCGAGATACTTGCTGGAGACCTTTGATTCAAACAATGACTTTGTGTTAGCTGGGAAAGCTCGCCAACTCTCAGTCACCAACCTCCCAAGCAGCCCTCTCTTCACTTCATAGTTCTGGGATTCCTCACATGTATGCGGTAAGGACTGATCTCATCTCCCGCCAGGCCAGCGGCGCCCGAGTCGTGAGTGTTGGCCATGGTAGGAGTCAATTGGCATCATACGCGTGTGAGTGTACCGGTAGGACTCATATGAAGAACATCAACGACCGCCTTCGCCCAGTACTGAGCGGAAACACCGGAAAGCAAACAAGTCGCAACAGCAACAGCAAATGGGGAGGGTCTTATTGAGTAATTGACAGTAGCCCAAAAACCAGGAATAGCGGGTGCAGTAAGGCTATACCGGGGAAAATCATGAACAAGGTTAAGCGAGCCGAAACTATTTAATACAACCCTTCTCTTAAGCCTGGGAAACAGAATCCCATCCTGCATCGTCTCATTACCTACCTACTAATGGTCTGGGACTTTGATAAAGTGCCATGTCCTAGGTGGTCCACCGTCTTTGCAACCGAAGAGAGAAAGCGCACTTCCATGTCGTTCGAGGTGTGGCGTTGTGGCTTGAACTATCTCCCCTTGCTTCACAGGCGGCCTCTGAATGGGCGATCTGGACAGCGGGAGGGGTCTAGAACCGCAGAACAGGTACGCGCCGGGCAAGCTTGTGGCGGTGCGTACGAATCCCTGGACAAGCTCGGAAATGATCACCGCTTTTTGCTAGATTGTGCCAGGTACAGAGTTGCATCAGTCGCCAGGTTTTGGCCGTCTGCCAACACACTCATGAGCGAAGGGGCCCGTTATAACGGCTCATTGGTCATACTAAAGTCCTCATTCCCTGCTCGTTGGAATGCCGCCCTCGCCACGTCAAGCCACACCTTTCAACTTGACAACCGCATGCCGCCGTGCCGCCTTAATGTTCTCAGGGCATTAAACGAAGTAGAGTCACGGATACTTCGGTTCCTGCTGGTCTTGTTGGCACTTTAAAAGTCACACGCCGAGCGAAATTGTTGGATTAGATTGTAACTCCTACCGCCTGCCAATGTCTGCTCAATCCCGCTTCGACTACACACGCGTCGTTTGCCACAGCTCACTACCTTGACGCGATCTCGGTGCCTGATTCCTGTCCTGGCGCCGCCCTGTTGGTCTATGGCGCGATTAGCACCTTCCTGGACTCTCGGCCCCGTCTCTCACCGATCTGTTCCTCCTTCACCGACCCTTTTCTACGCAAGGATCGACATTCACTATTGTGGTATGTCTGCTTCTGAGACGGTCCTTCAGCCTGAAGCCGTGTTGCTATCGTGCTTTGCCATCTTCCCCTGAGCCTCGTCTTCGGGTGTCGAATGATCTAACCAGTGTCCTCGCGGGCCCGCATCGGAGGATCAGACCAAGATGTTGAGAGAAACCTCCCGTCTGTAAGCCTCATCGTATTATCATCCTGGACGCTGACTGGCTGCTGGCGGTGTACCTCCGGGACCTCGCAGGTTCATAGCTCCGATTCGGGACACGATATTGCTTCCAACAGCATCGACGGCTCCCCTCGGCGATGCCAGACTTGGCCCTTGAGGTGCAGTCTCCTGGACCCTGAACAGCTTGATCGCTGTACCATTCCAGATTCCAACTGTGCCCTTCGAGATCTGAATCTCGCTACTAAAAACAAAGCCCCACAGCAACGATTCGTACCATCCTAGTGAGAGCTGCGACCACTCAAAAGAGTGCACTCGTGGTGGTGTTGGGTCAACTCCCACCAGCTTGATTTCTTGGATCTTCAAGAGTGTCTCTCGGTTTGCAGACTCTCCTGCGAGGGCTTGCCTGGGCAACAGGGCTGTCACCTGCTGAATTACGGTAAGAATAGTGTGAAGAGGCAGCTCTGGTAACCAGCTTTCAATCCAAGTGGCTGTTGGCTCAAAGCCACCGGATTGTGACTGTCCACTTGCTGAATATCCGCCCAGACTTGTGGTGCTGTTTTGTCTTGAGAAGTTGCTCATGCCGGCGGGCATCTTGCCTCTGGCCTTTTCTGACATACCCCGGAGTTGTGTCGGAACGGCGTCTTCCACCACTGATGCTTGTGACGATGCCACAGACGGATTTTCGCTCGTGGTCGACTGCGCTGGCGTTGGGTGGTGGTCCTCGTCCTCGCTATCGTCCTCGTCATCACCAATCGCGAACGTACCGTCCTCTTCCGGGACATCACTTAACGTCGGAGGTCGAGGATGAGACATCGTTGGGCTCCGGATACTTTCTGCCGAGCTCCTCACAGAACTTGGCTCGAGCCCATCGCCATTGGCTGCTGATTCTTTGCGGCGACGGTTTCGTCTCTCAATCTCCTCCTGACCGCTCTCTAAGGTGAACGTCCGCAATGCTTCTATCCGCTTCTTGTTGCGCAGGATTGCGAAAATAAGCTCGGGATTCTCTGTGTAGACGTTAGCATGATGGATTTCACAAGATCCAGGTAGTCAGGTGATTGCCAGTGTTGCATCTCCCAGCTAAAATGGAGGCTTACTTTGGTAGTTGTGTTCGACAATTGAATTTATCGACTCCAATAGTGACCTTAGTAAATCGTGATTGCTGTCGTTTGCGAGAAGGAAGGAAGGTGAAGACATGGACGAAAATAGTTGCAGGAGCTTTGAGGCAGATGCCGAGCTTAGCCCCTCCAGATAGGGGGCAATGTTATTGATGACAGCCATGAGAGCCGGGTATATAGCTGTCAGTCTGCCTTGGCTCGTGGTGATGAGGTTGTAGATGGACTTGCTTTTGTTAGCTGAGATCGACACAAATGCAGCAGAACCTCTCTTACGTGTATCAGGAAATCCGCATGAGTGCCACTGAAGCCAGGTATCCTGATAACCAAAGGCAGGCTGTCCTGGCCTTCGAATCTTCTGTTGAGATTGGCGCCAAAGTTCTTCTCAACACTCAGCGTCTGCAGCAGAAAAGCACACATTCTCACAACGCCTTGCTTGGATGCGTCATTCTTGTACTCCAGAGCGTAGAAAAGAGTTAGCACGACAAAGTCATGGACCCGCTCAGTATCGATGATGAACGATCTGAATCTCTTGTTGCACTGAGTGATTTCCCAAAAGAGCATGATGATCTCTGGCGCAAATCTGGCATTGGTTTGCCCACTGGGAAGATACGAGCTCTTCTCATGGAGCGGCTGGTTGAGAATCCGTGTCATGCCGTCGACGATGAACTGAAAGTCTTGTGGCCGATGGAGTCTGCCAAGGAAGTGGCGGTAATAGTTCTTGGGAGTCGTGCCGTTTTGCTCGGGAATTGGGTACAACAGGAAGACTAGCAAAAGCTGGAGTGTGTATGTCACCAGTATCTGCTTCTCGTCCTTGAAGACCAGGGTATTGTATGGTACACGCCAGGTAGCTGGATTGTACTTGAGGGTCTGCGTCTGTCAGCATGGAGCCAAGCGATAGAGAACGAGCTGCTTCACATACAGTGTTGAGCAACGAGCACAAGACTGATAGCACGACCTGCTTATCAGGGCACGTGCAGATATGCGTCAAGGCTCGAATTCCTCTCTGCGGAAGCACGTTTGATGACATGTACATGCTCTGGCTAGTCATAGTGAGTAGCAAGCGGAGTATCTCGCTACGATTGCTCTCGAATTCTTTGGTGGTCGCCACTGATGTGTTGCAGCCTACACCACTCTGCCAGATGGCGTATGACACATTTGGCCGCCCACTAGGCTGCCTAGGTAGAGTGAGGTCTGAGAAGAAGAGCAAGTCGACCAGTGTGTCGATGAGCTCTTCGGCGAGGGGTTTGGCATCTTCGAAGTCTTCATTTTCGTTCTTGGGCGGTTTCTGGCCTTCTTGAGCCCCGTCAAACAGCACTTCGGCAGCAATCGCAGATTGCCTAGTTCTCTTCCTCCGCGCACCCCAGAAGAACCGCTCCTCCCATGCTGCAAGATTATCTGCCTCGTAGATGAAGGGAAGGATGCGCGTCAGGACGCGGACGCAATTGAGAGCATCGCGTTCGGGAGCGATTTCGGGATCGGGGAACGAAGGATGGTGGCGCAGGATGAACAGGCGTGATGTTAATGCCAATATTAGAGTTTCTAAATTCTCTAGGGCCTTGTCTCGAGTGCGACGAATGTCGGCGGGGGCGAAAAGGCTGAAGATATCCTCTGAGGATTCGGGAAGCTCCCAAAACTACACGGGCGGGCTGGGTCAGTATCGCGGGCAAAGAGGACACCTCACAAGCTGACATACAGAAGTCCAGTAGGGATCATCGGCGGGAATGTGTCGCTCTTCAGAAAGCCTGAAGATGCCTTTCTTGAAGACAAGCTTCGAATCGCTGGCGCCCATGTTGTCACAGAGGGGGCATACTATCCGTAGAAATGTTTCTGACGGAAAGAAGAAGCTTGGGAGGTCGACGGTCCAGTGTTCCAGACACCAGATTCCCAGAGGCGTACGGAGTACTGAGTGCTACGTAATGGCGGAAGAGCGGGTCGCGAATTGATGTCTGGCCAATGAAGGGTAAAGAGCGGGGTAGCAGTTCGCCGGGCGTATCTCAAAAGTCCACGTCCCCGTCCCGTTTCCCATTCTCCGTGCCAGACCTCCATACCGAGGTACGTACCACCCTAAACTTTAAGGACTTCCATTATGCAGTTAAGGTACCTACTTCGAATTGGATAGGTAGGTAGCTCTCGAACCTCACAAGCCTCGCCGAAACAATCAAGCCGCAGACTGCAATCATCTCTCTGATTCACAGTACTTTTAGTTGAAGCTGAAGTTTCCCAATTCCTTCGGGTTGGCTATGCTTAGGATACTGGCCTGGTGCCCAACCAGCTACCTCATCCTGAAGCTTGACACGGGAACAAACTGGAGCTACTGCATCTGAGTAGGGGCGCAATGACACAGGTCTATTACTTCAAGATTGAGACAGGACCCTTGAAGTTCAGTTCCGCGATTGATTTATATGACCCATGCGAACATCAATGTACAGTCTGGGGACTTTTTGACTTTATTGTAGGGCATTTAGTCAGCCTTTGTCTCCACCCCATGAGAAACATTACACCTAAACGCCTTTCGCAAGGTATCCATCCCACTGACTGCAGTCATTCATCTTCCAAATTCCCTCTAAGCCCTGAAAGCGTAGTGCGCCGTCGTCGCCTAATGCATCCAGGTACCACCTGACGACCTTCTCCCTCTCTCGTAGAGCCACTTGTTGTTCAGTCCTACGCTGGTGCGCTTTCCGGTAGAGGGGCTCGGCGTTCCCGGATCAGGGAAGAGGGAAGATGCAGTACTTGCTGCCAGGTTTGTAGAAGACCCAAAGGATGATCTCCGGTTGCTGTTTAAGCTGGCTGAGAACTTGGAGGGGCTGTTGTGAAGAGGCGAAGGAGAGTAAGATTGTCCGTTTCCATTGAAAGAGCTTCCAAGAGCTGGGCTGCCTCTGCCGGAAAGCGGGGAACCAGAGAAGCTCCGGTTGCTCGCGGGCGAACCTGCCAGAGAAGGCGTCCGCGAGTAACGTGGCGGGGTACTGTAAACAGCATCAGGTGTAGCTGCTGCAGAACTAGGCGGCAGTCCGAGAAGTTGGCGCTGAGCGGGCGTCAAGGGAATGTCGGAAAGATCGTCGGCCGATCGAAGTAGAGGCAGCATAGCCATGCCAATGTTCACTAGCGGAATGAGCTGGACCAGATAGTATGCCCAACCCAGATATGAGCGCAAGGAGCTACTAAACCTGCTCAGCTAGTTAGCAGAGGTCGCACTCGTGAGGCCAGCGGAAGGCGTACCATTGTGCGGGAACGTATGAACGCGAAAAGATCTGGAACAGCCAGAGACTGAGAAGGAAGCCGACGTTCAGAGCTATTCTTCTAACGTTCTTTTCGGAAAATGTCGTTGCGTTCCGCCGTCTCGTGATCTCATTCAGGCGTGGATGTCTCCATGTGCCAGGACTGTCGACGATAGGGGTGGGCTTTTGCGGCGTCGACTTGACGGGAGTGCTGACAGCAGCTCGGCTCGCCGACGAAGACATCGTTTCAGCAAATATTGACAAGACTGAGAGGTGAGATCGAGGAATAGAGGTCGTCGTGCGGTGACCACAGTCAGGGTCAAAGCCTGTTGCGCGAGAGTTAGTTCCAGTCGTCTGCAGGTCTACACATCCGTCCGTCATGATCAATGCGACTTACTCTTCCCAGTGATTTGGCAAACCTGTTTGATGTTAGTAAAAAGTCTCTTAGACGCTGCGCTGTCGCCGAGCGCTCGCGTGCTTCGATGCGCCGCTTCAAGTCGGGTTGTCGATGGTGATGGATGCGGCAGGAAACATTGGCTACAGCATCTCGCAAAGCAGTGGCAGAAAAACAATACTCCAGCCACACGGACCACAGCAACCGGCAGGTAGTCTGTTGCGAAGTGGATACCTGCGCTCCTGCCTAGTGGGGCATGTGGCTTGCTCTTGCCGTTTCTCAGGAGCAGTTGAGGTCCGTACCGCTCACAGCTCACTTCAGGGTGCAATGGTCCCCTAAGTATCGCAAAGTACAACTTGTCAAAGTGTCTTACACATCCGCTGCGGATCACTCGAGTCCTTTCGCGACCCGGGGCAGCCTTAACGAGACTACCTGAAGATACAGAGAAGTGTAGCCTCGACATCGGAAACACTTGGTTAGACTTTCCGAAGCTTGGGAACTCCCGCGCTGACTACGCAGAAAGGCAGGCCGGAGACGCGCAGTGTGCTAGTAGTCCGGCTGTTGGAGAATCCTGGACGCGGTACGAGTAAGGTACCTCACCCAGCTCGCTTTCGAGAAGCACCTAGTCGCAACAACGGAAGCCGGGGGGGACGTCAGATCCCCGCCGTTGACTGCCAGCACAACCCACCTCAAGGCTCAGCACCAAGAAACCTCCGAGCTCGAGCTCCGCGGCACCGCCTCACCTCATGCTCTTCCCTTTTGTTAACCCTCCGAGCTTTCCATGCGGGCCACGTAAAGCCTTTTGTCGTTTTGCTTCCACCAGCACGCATACTCCTCAACTGACGACGAACCCCGAAGCTCGACCCGTCTCGCATTACTCCCACCATCGCGCCGCCCAAGATGGGCTTCTTTGACAACATCATGCACCAGATGGACGAGGGTGTCTCGGGCTTCTTCGGACAATGGAACGCTTATACCACTGCCCTCGTCACTTTTCTCGTCGCCATCGTTACCTACCGAATCGTCTCTAGCCAGGATCCCGATACCCATCCCATGCTGCTTGCCCGTCAAGCGCAAGGCTCTCCCGTTCGCCAACCAGCGGAATCTCCCGTCTATCGATCCCACTCTGCCCCTCACGGCATGCCCCTGAACAGCGGACTCAACGTCAAGGACCCCGGTGCTTCGAAGTGGGCGAGGGGACGTGATGGAGATCTTCGGGATATCTGGAGAAGAGCGGCGACTGGCGCTTCTGAGGAGGGCAAGCCAGTTGTAGGCAAGGGCCGCTTGTTGACGGTACTGGGCTCCGAGAATGTTATCGAGCATCAACTTGGTGAGTACCCTTCTTTTGCGCCGTGATCAACTTCTCTAAGGCCGCGCAGATGGCATCACTCGTCAAATCAATCTCATCGGACAGCACATTCATGAGCAGGGCGGCATCCGAGTAGCCGTTTACCTGCCAAACTCTATCGAGCTTTTGGTGACGCTTTTCGCCTGCAGTTTTTACCCGAACCTCACAGCCATCCTGATCCCATTTGATGTGTCAGACGAGGAACTCGTGACGATGCTCCGCCGTTCTGCCGCCGATACCGTTATAACAGCCCCTGGCGCGTTCCCCTTTGACTCGGTCGTCAAGGCATACCCCGCTCTCCGCCAACTCATCTGGGTTGTAGATGAGGGAAGTTCTCACATGGACTGGAATGAAGTTCCCGAAGGCATGGGCGGCAGTGTCAACGTTGCGACATGGCAAGAGATCCTCCATGATGCACCAGTCGATGCCGCGAGAGAGGTGCCCCCTGTCGACAAGGAAATTGAACCGAAGGATGTGGTGACTTTCTGGCAATCCAAGCCGGGAACCATGGAAGAGATGGTGCGCTTCACTCAGTCCAATTTGGTTGCCGGTGTTGCCGCTCAGCTCGCTGCGATCCCAACTACCCAACGCCTGAGTCCCTCTGATCTGTTCCTTCCTGCCGACTCTCTTACGAACATCCATACCTTAATCCTCACATTGGCAGCTCTGTTCTCCAACTCATCTGTCGCACTCAACTCAGTGGCTGGAAAGGTCACGGACTTGGCTCTGGCTACCCAGGGAGTTGCTCCTACAGTCTTGGTGGCCGCTCCCGAGACTCTGTTGAAGACCCACCAGGAGGCAACTAACCGCCTGACCTCTGCTTTGGCTAAAGTTGCTCACTGGGCTCAGTCCCGCAGCCTCACAGAGAGTGGTGTGATGCCCGTTGCATCCGCCGCGGCACGTTTCAACAGTGCATCTCGACCAGCTATCGGCAAGACTCCTGGAAAGCTGCGCCTTCTTTATGTCGCGGATAGGGTCGGGGCTGGCTCGCCGCCTTTGTCGTCACGAGAACTTTCCGATCTTCGCATTTTCACAGGCGCTAGAGTCATCTACGCTTTGGCCGCGCCCAAGGTTGCCGGAGCTGTCGCTCAGACTGGTTACTACGATTATAGAGTGCATGAGGATAAGCAGTCGCACTTCGGCCCTCCTCTGACGAGCACTGAGATCCTCTTAAGAGATACACAACAGCATAAGAATGCCGATCAGGAATATCAGGGAGAGGTGAGTTTGATGGCCTTCCGAATCCCGGCCGCACAACTAACGCTGCAAACTAGATCATTGTTCGAGGCCCTTGTGTTGCAGGCAACGAGGCCACCATCAAGGCTACAGGCAAGATCCGGGATGACAACACGCTGGCATACGTATAGAAATTTGTGTACAAGGTCTATTTGATATGTAGCTGAGCCCATGGATGTGGGACAGACACAATCCGAATCATATCTTCCCATCTCATCCTTTGCCAAGGGATTCCTCGCATCTTCCACTTAAGCCGTCTTTCATGTGCGCATTTAGGTCTGCCAAGGAATCATCTATTGCCAGTGAATTACTTCTATCTTGCCGCCGATGTGGCCGACGCTAGGTCTCTCGATATCATGCATCGCTCACGTGGCTCGTGGCATATTGCTTTGCCCACTGCCAGTCTGCTTGGGCTCTATCGAGTCTTAATGCTCAGTGGCAGGCATCTACAGACCCAACAAAAGCAGTGACGGCGACGCTTCTGACTACTTGCTAAGATGACGCTTTTACCCTCCTCTGCAACGAGTTGACTTTAATGCTCATCTTCACCCTACGCAATGAAACAAGTTACCATCATGCCAAGAATATAGAAAAAATGCGGAGAAAAGAACATCATACTTACACAGCTACTGCCACTTAACTGTCCTAGCGAGAAAAAAAAGATAGAGAGTTAGACGAAAATCGCAAAAGCTCAGCTCCCTATAGGGAGCCTACGAAAGATCCGAGGAGGCTCTTACCAGCCTCAGGTGTAGCGATGCAAGGATTTTTACTAGAAGAAGACGGGACTCAAACCCGGGACCCATGGGTGCGGAGCTATTCGAACTAAGGTACGACATTCTCCGCTACGTCACGGGCCTTGGTGATAGTAATAAGTAAATTTATCTATTATGGAGGGTATCGAGGCGGTGGCCGGCGGTTTGTGCTTGTGAGTGAGTGAACCTAAGGCTCTTGCTCACAGAGTCACGTGAACCCCTTCTCATCTCATCTTCTTTCCAAGGTCGAGTGAAGAACATGCTGCCTCATCAAGGAGATGAATACCAGGGCGAGGATGGACAGTCCGAGCATTGTGTACCAGACGCTGCCAAAGGCCTCTCGGAAGGAGTCAATCACTCCCGACTTCCACCCGGGCGGGAGGTTCTTGAGCTCGTCGAGGTCGTCTCTGATGCGGCCGATGATCTTGGCGGCGTTGGGATAGTCGCCGAAGCGTTCCCAGAGCTTGACTCTCAGCACGTTCTGGTAGACGGCGGAACCGATGGTGATGCCGATGGTACCCCCGAGACTGCGGGCCAAGTCTATGGATTCATTAGTCTATGCGGATGGTTTTGCACATAACCCAGGATGACTTACATGTCGCTGACGTGATGACTGCTTGCTGCGAATGGTCGACGGCAGCAATGCAGCCGAGCAGCGTAATGGTCAACATGGCTCCGTAGCCTCCTCCCACCAGGAAGAAGACGACATAGTTGACCCACGCGGGCGTGTTCTCGTTGAACTGCGTGAGGACGATGATGCCGGTGTTGAAAAGAACCAGGGCGCTGATTCCCGGGATCACGTATTTCCCGGTCCGCTTCATGATGTAGCCGGCGCCGACAGACATGATGGAGACGCCCAGAGGTGATGTCAAGATGCGGAGACCTGCCTGCGTGGCAGATAGCCCGTTGACCTGGAGGTACAGCGGCACGTAAAAGATGGCCATCATCATGACCATGGTGCACAGTAGGTTGGTCAGACAGGCGGCGAGGATAGTGCGGTTCGCGAGCAGGCGGACGGGGATGATGGGCTGTTTGACCCTGCTCTCCCAGACGATGAAGCCGACGAAGGCGACGACGGAGAGGGGTATCGTGGTGAGCGGCAGGGGGTGGACCCAGGGGACTAGGTTTCCACCTGCGTTGAGGCCGAGCAGGAGGAGCACGAGGAAGGAGATGGTCAGGAAGACGCCGAAGAAGTCGATGCGCGCCAGGTAGGACTTATCCGAGGCCTTGGGCGGGACCTTTACGAGGACGGCGACGAGGACGGCGGATACGAGCACGGGGGGCACCTGGACGAGGAAGGCGAGGCGCCAGCCCATTGCCGTGTGGTCGTTGATGAGGCCGCCGAAGACGCCGCCGAGCATGGCGCCGGAGCCGTAGGCGATGTTGCCGATGCCCTGGTAGATGCCCCTCTGCCTCAGGGGGATGAGGTCGGAGCCGAGAAAGGTGGAGATGGACATGAGCCCTCCGCCGCCGACGCCAGCCACGACGCGGCCAAAGATCATGACGGACTCGGTGCGGGCGAGGCCGCAGATGAGGTTGCCGGCCGCGAAGAAGAGGTTGCTGAAGACAAGGCCGGGACCACGGCCAAAGATGTCGGTCAGCCTGCCCGAGATGGGCTGACAGGCGGCATTGGAGATGAGGTAGGCCGTGGCGAGCCAGCTCATGAGACTCAGGGACTTGAATTCGCTGGAGATGGGGCCGGAGAGGGTGGCGATGATTGTGCTGTCGATGGCGCCAAGGAAGACGCCAAAGTAGGAAGTGCCCAGGATGAGGGCTAGGCGGGTGCCGGAGACCGTCTCGGCGACGACGGTGGTCTCGTCGTCGTTGGCGGCAGCGGCGGTCCCATTGCTGGTCGTGTTTGTGGTGCCGTTGAGCAGCGGCGTCGTCTCTGAGCTCTGCTCGGTGGCGGCCAGGCGGCGCGTCTGCTCCTCGTCTGCCGTCATGTTTAATGGTGATGTTCTCTCCCCCTCTGCTTCGGCTTCCAACCTGAGTTTCCCTTTACTTCCTTTACTGGTGCGGAGTTGAGTCCTTGAAAGTCATTCGTCAACGTCGCTGTCGATATGTCTTGAGTGTGTTAATGACGTTCGACCTATTGGGTCAATGCTCTTTTCGTATTATCGGGATAAGCTTTCCGGCTTGTGTCTTATGTAATCTAAACGCTCCCAGAAACAGAATGTCATTGCTGAAGATTCACAGTGACAAAACAGACAGCAGTTCCCCGGACCCCGAATCTCGGCGTGCGCCCCCGTGGCCCCCCTGGCAGCTGTGCCCGGCCGTCTGTCCGCAAAAGGCAACTGTGCAGGACGTCTAAGGCGGGCCGCCGGGCACTCTGAGTCTTGAGAGTCAGCACGGAGATAGAGATAGTAGAGATGGAGGAGATGTCAGCCACAGATGCGTACGATAAGATGGGCGCTGACGCTGGAACAAGTGTGCAAAAGAGGAGTGTAGAGGACGCCACATAGTAACCCGCCCCGGCTAATCTTCATTGAGTCTTGAGCAACGGCCCAAAGACCCTTCCACCGAAGAGTTTATTGGGTAAGTAATTCCCGAAGCATTGCGTATGCCTTCCTTATCTTACCCACCAGCGACACAACCTTGCAATCACGTCACTGCCGATGTCGGTGTGCCCTGTCACTCCTCGTGCAGTGCGCCCTTGGGTTCTTTCTTTAACTTGGCCTCACTTCCTCCATCTTCATCTTGGCGCTGGGATGAGGGACCTTTGTGATTCGACTCGACATTTGGGGAAAAGAGAAAACCGAAATTGGAGGAGGCCATTATCAACGCTCATGACGCTCCCTTCAATCAAGGGCCTCGAAAGCATCTCACGACGGGCGGGGTTTGAAAACGGAAAACGATTCAACGTGCCGGAAAACTCATCTTCAACTCACGGCAGAAAGACACCGATAAGCGAGCGAGCACGCCCGGATCGAAAAGGTCCAGCAGCCAAGGTACGAGGTGGATCTCATTATTCTTTCTTTTCTGCGCGAGTGTGCTATGCGCCGCCTATTTGGCCTTGAAAATGCGTATTGGAAAGAAGGAAATGAAATGCATGGTAGAAACGGACCTTGTTCGTTTTGGCGCATGTTGACCAAGACGATTGTCCTCCCCAAATATGGTTTCCACTGAGGCCGCCGGAAAATGGCCTCAGTTTCCTCTCATCTCCACTCGACCATGTCCGGTGGTGTCTGACCGCAGCCACACTGCCCATCACAGAATGGAATCCAAGGAATGAGGACTCTGACGCCGAACGAGTGTTCGGCGTGAGAAAATGGCCTCAACTCGTTTTGTTTCTCAGCTTCGATGAGGCAGCTTTGAGATGATATTCTTATTAAAGCATACTTGACCAGTGTCTCTCTCACCTCACTTCTCACTCACTCAGCATCACCACCACTCATCCTTTACATCTTACTCTCATTCTCATTCACTCCACACGTCGAAAATGGCGTCCTCCGATATCCTATCTCAGACTCTTCACACCATCACAAGTGTGAAGCTTAGCCAGTTGGATAAGCAGAAGGCTTCATATGAGTCAGGGAAGCGAGCCCTACTAGATGATGCGGCCTATGAGACGGACAGTCGGAAAAGGGCGAAGCTCTTAGTCGACCGGGTCGAGAGGCTCCCTGCCATGGCACCCTTGGACGATGGCTCACTACTATCCATCGACAATCTCAAGCGATTCGTTCAGCAAGCCGAATTTGACCCGTGCGTTTCCGACGACTTCCTCCACGACTATGAGAACAGCGTACGCAACGAACTCGACGTTCAGTCGGCAAAATATCGATACGCCGAACTCTACGGCAAACTCGTCAACGAATGGATCTCCGCCGGGAAGGCTGCTGGCCACGGAGCTGAGTCGGGATTCGTGCCCGTGGGTAGGGAGGAGATGCACCAACAGCGAGCGACGTGGGAGCGCTATGTCTTCCATGCGAAGGAGACGGATAGCCTGGCCATCAAAAGCTACCTCGAGAGCCTCTTCGTATCATCCTCCAAGGACATTCACCGGGCATTTCTGGAACTGAAAGAGAACGTCAAGAAGTTTCAGGACACGTGGGACGACAAGACGCACTTTGACGAGGATTCTTTGATGAACACCATCCGCGGCCTCCTCCGGACGGATACCCTCACGGACCAGAAGAGGACGACGCTCAACGACTTTCTGAACAACAAGGTCGTTCTGTGCGAGATCGCCGATGTGCTGAACATGCGGATGCAAACTCGGCAGAACTGGGCCTGGGACAGCGCGACTGAGGTCGACGTGCGACGGCAACTCAACGGACGCTACCGATTCTACCCCGACGATGACCTCCTACAGGCCATCTTCATTCACCACATCGGCAAGCTGTGGGCCGTCAAGATACGCGGGTTCCTCGTCGCGTTCCTCGAAAGCGCGGGCGTGGAAAAGGATGCGACGAAGCCCATGAGCAAGGAAGACGTTCGCCGCAGACGATTCTTCCTGAAGACGGGGCCACGCATTGAAAGCCCCGTTTCGGTGGAGAAGAAGCTCAAGCAGCACTTCAAGTCGGAGATCCTGCTGGACCAGCTGCCGCAGACCTTGGCAGAGGAGCGAGGCGGCTACGGCTCGGACGGGAAGGAGAAGAAGGGGGACAGCCGCAAGTCGCACGTCGCCGTCGTACAGAACCTCTTGCACCTCATGCAGTCCGAGATCATCATGCAGACGCGGCTCGGGAGCGACGTGACCGTCATCCGGTCCGATCTAAAGTGGTTCGGCCCCAGCGTGCCGCACTCGTCCATCTTCGCCGTGCTCGAATTCTTCGGCGTCGACGACGAGTGGACCGGCCTCTTCAGGCGGATGCTCGAGTGCCCTTTACGCTTCAGCGACGACCCGTCAGACGCGCCGGCCCAGATCCGGAGGAGAGGCACGCCCCTGAGCACGCCCCTGGCGGATTTCATTGCCGAGACTATGCTCTTCTGCATGGACTTTGCCGTCAATCAACGAGCCGATGGTTGCCGCCTCTACCGGCTGCACGACGACATGTGGCTATGGGGCGGTCTCGAAACCTGCACCCGGGCGTGGGAGAGGATGACTGAGTTTGTCAACCTCACAGGGCTGGAGATCAACTGGGACAAGACGGGGAGCGTCAGGGTCGCCGCCGCCGCCGCCGCGCCCCCGGTAGCCGGGTCGAACCAACAACAGCAACAGCAACAGCAACGGTCCATGCCTCCGGGTACGGGTGCTACGACGACGGCACGGGGTCGTCTGCCATCAGGCGATGTCGTGTGGGGATTCCTCAAGCTCGATCCGACGTCTGGGCGTTTCCTCCTGGACCAGGACAAGATTGACGTGCACATTGACGAGCTGCGGCTGCAGCTGGAGGCGTGCAGCAGCATCTTTGACTGGATCCAGGCGTGGAACATTTACGGCGCTCGCTTCTTCAAGACCAACTGCGCCCAGCTCGCCAACTGTTACTCCCGGCAGCACGTGGATAGCATGCTAGCGACGTTCCACCGCATTCAGGAGAGGCTGTTTGGCGCTGGCGGGGCCGGGGCGCACCTGAAGCGGCTCATTGGCGATCGATTCGGCGTCGAGGACATCCCTGACGGTTACTTATACTTCCCCGTTTCTCTGGGCGGCCTGGGACTCCAGAACCCCTTTATTCACCTCTATCTGATCCGCGACGACGTCATCGAGGACCCCGACGACATCATGGACGACTTCCTGGCCGAGGAGGAGGCAGAGTACAGGCTCAAAAAGTCGGCCTACGAGGAAGACACTGAGGGGGCCGGCGGCGGCAGCGGGCCTGGCAGCAACCTCGACATCTCCGGGGCCCGACACCACGCGCCGTGGCTTCTCGCGGACGACTACAGAGACCTACGGGACCAGCCGTTCATGAGCTACGAGGAGTTCTCGCGGCACCGGAGGCGCACGTCGCCGGCCCTGAGCCGGGCGCTCGACAGGCTGCGGCACACGCCGGCCACCAAGGCGATTGAGCTCAGGGGCGAGGTCGAGGCCGCGCTTAAGACCACGCCGGCGGGCTGGTATGGACTCAGCGGCTACGAGCAGTGGGTGTGCGGGCTCTACGGCAAGGACATGGTCGCGCGGTTCGGCAGTCTGGTTGTCGTGGACAAGGGGGTTTTACCCACGGGTTTGTTGGACATGTTGAGGCAGAGCCGGTTCAAGTGGCGCGGCTGAAGGGATGAAAGAAGACGAGAATGAAAATGCCGAGGATAACAGGATAGGGGAAGTAGGACAGGGGAAGGGGGTGCGCTCTGTACGATGGATGGGATGGAGAGGCGCGGAAATTGGATATGGAAGAAAATAGCCGCGATGAGGCCTATCCTGGTGTCCGTTTCTAGAACAACGGGCAGAAAAGTCTCTCGGGCAAGTCGCGTGATCATCGGGGATTCGGGCGCGGCAAAAACATGAAAACACACACATCGGATACCCTGGGAGGGCAGTGAAAGTGTAAGAATAGTTTAAATTGGGTTTTCGGTCAAGTTGGACCGGATATTGGCCTCGTTCATTACTCGTGGAAATAGATGAAATGCGAGAAACTCACCCTGAATCGCTGAATCGCAAAACGGCTATGAATTGGTCCAGAATTGCCACTAAAAGAATTAAAGCTCCCACCCCCGGCCGGCCCCCTCGTCCCTTGCCGGGAAAAAGTCTTGTTCAAAAGAAGGCACAAACCGAGGTAAGTATGATAAAGTAAGTGTATGGATAGGTATAGCACGATGATGGGCCGGGACATGGATATCGCAAAACTTTGACATATGGAGCCTCACTTTTCCACTCTCTTACACACCCCTTTGCCAAGCAAAAAGGGTCCTCGGTTCGTATTGCCTTGGCATTTAGTAGTATGAACGGTCATCCCCTCCCCCGATCTCGACTTTGCTGTGTTTTCTTTGCTATCTCATCTTACACACACCCTTCCTTTTTCCATCTGCCGCTGTCTCACCCCTAGTCTAGCTGCCCAATTTCTGTACTATACACAGTAACTTACAAAGTCACGATGGTGGATCCATGCATTGTTTCTTGCGTGCCTTCTTCTTGTCTGCTAACCGCGGTTGAAGAATGGTAGCCAAGGTGGCTTACGGCACAATGTGGGCGCGAGAATATGTTGCATGGTGGGTAAGGCACGGCAGTGAACATGCGCCGCCAGGTAGTGAAACTCTTCAAGTGCTCGGATTGTCGGTGGTAGAAATGGCGTCATTGCGGCCCTTGATCGAGAGGGCATTGTGTCTGGATAAACAGTGTCACGCATACCATGTCGAATGAGTTCACCGCAGTAGATGCCTGCCAGTCATCAACGGTGAAGGTCCAGATGAACCACCTGAGCTGATTCGACGACATCAGGTGATCTGAAGATGACCACAGACCCGATGAGCCTCAAAAGAGTTGCTCATGACGGATGGGTTGGGGGTTGGGTGAGGTCATTTCAAGTCAGGTCAGTTCAGGTCGAACCGTCGAGGGGAAAGGCGAGGATGAGAGTGAGAGTGAGAGTGAGAAGACCCCCACGCGTCCCGTCATCTCACTTCTTCGCCAAGTCGCCGTTACGAACGATGGACGGGGGGAACTTGACTATCCTCACGACTAATTCACAAAGGTCAACATCAAAAGCCGACATTTAAATCGCTATCTTCAGTATCTCGTTTCGATGTCCCAGAGACGCCAGGAGATGGCTCGTGCTATCTCCAGTGTCCTTTTGTTCGTTGCCAGCGGCCGCCTAGTAGGTATCCGTACGGATACGCAGTAGCTTCCTCCTCTTCGACTACTTTTTTGGTTCTCGCAAAAGGTCTCTGCATATTCGCAGGTCACACACCCCCTGGTACGTTCTATTAGGCGAGTGCTCCTCCGTACGGAGTAGTGTACATAGGCGAGCAGACAGAACGGACAGGCGAGGGCATGGTTTAAAGTATGGGACCCGAGGTAGTGTACTCCGTAGGTGAGAGCGTGTCAGTACGGACAGAGCAGTGAGCATGTACCAAGTTTAAGCTTGTTAGTGCGTGCTTTAGGCCAGGTCAGGCAGAGTAGTCAATATGGATTAAGGTGTCTTTTGACTCTGCGACTCTTTCTCCATCTTCGCGCAAGGCAAGGTGCAGCTTGCGTCCGAACCTTCTGACTCTCTCTCTGCCTTGTTGAAGCTCCTGTGAAGCGAGTACCGAGGACGGAGCAGTGTAAATGGGGTCCTTCCCCGTCGCCACCGCCTCGAGTTTCCCTGCCACATCGTCCTGCGTAGTGTCGGCCTCGGCTGGGGTTGTCGTCCTTCTCTCTGTCAATCTCGAGTCTTTTCTGTGTGTCGGTCAGCTTCCCCTGCTCGAATCTCCACGGCTGAACCAGTGACCAGTGAACCACTGAATAAGTGAGGGTGAGTGATCGAGTGACCGACCGGGCATTCCCTTTCTCTCTTTCTCTCTCTCTTCGGGGCTCTCTCCACTCTTTGCCATCTCCTAAACTCCCTGGTCGGGCCTTGTGGATGTTCCTCCTCTCTTCTAATCCTTGAATTCCAGGCCCCCTTTCCTTGTACGGATACCCTGTGCCTGTCCACGGAAGACCACCCCCTGGGCCCTGCTAGAGAAGAAACCCATGCGTCGCCAGATCGGAGAGAGAGTGTGTGTGTGATGGTGTGCGGTGCCACAAACGCCCGTGCCAGTCCCGCGTTCACTCTTGTCCAGTTCTGTCGTGAATTCCAGCCAGTCATTAGCCCGGCCGGAATTTCTTGGCCCGAACGTCCCTTATCACCCCCACACCTTGGGAACTTTTTTGGCTCGGGTGGATTCAAATCGTCAACGCTTCTTCCCCAGGCCTTGAGCAGAATCCTTGATCCTTGCCATCTCCGTCTGTTCTCCGTCCTGGTCCTGGTTCATCCTGCCAGCCAGTCGTGCCAGTCTGCTTTTACCCCGATGCCCTTGATCCGTCCGTTCCCCTCCTCTCTGGCTCAAGGTAGTGACTGTCTATTGGGGCTGTTGTGTGGCTGTCGATGAGCTACTACTGCGTACAGTAAAGCAAAACTACTGCGTCAACATCTCTATCCTCCATCCTCCTCCGTCATCGCCCTTCAACTACTCGCTCTCCGCAGCATGCGAGTGGAAGCAGTCTGCAGCTCTTTGAGTTGTGAAAGTGGAGGGCATCCTTCGTCCCTGCAACAGTGACCTCCTCCCTCCTCACCTTTGGACTCCTTCAACAAGGTCCAATGGCTTCGCTGGCTGGGCTGAGAGCAAGCAAGAATATCGAACCTCTCCAAGTTCTCAGGGCCTCTGTTGCCGCACATCAAATACAACAGAGCGGACGGCACTCCAGCCCGTCAATTTTGCTTGGCTCGGTCTGGAGCAACCGAGCTGACAAGGATCGTGAATGCCATATCCGTAGTGCATACGGACTACAGGAGATGGAGAGTGTTACGGGGCCGGGAACGATTCAGACTGACTCTGTCTGCATTTGCTTTCTCACTCCTTCGGTCTCCTCCTCTCTTGATATCATATCGCCATCGGCCTCCTCTGATCCACAAACTCATGCTGCACGGTCATCATTCCGTGCTCCTTTCAGATCCGAGTATTTTTGCACAGACGGGGGACAACACAATTAAGCAGTCCATCAACCACTTTACCGTGATTAAGTTATGGAGAAAAAAAAGAACGAGGCACGGATATAGTATGTATACCGCGTTCTCCAACCCCCTCCCCTGATGCTCTAGTCCTCAGGCACATGGGTGATGGGATCGCGCCGCCCACATGCGCCTCCCGCTCCAAACGGCGCTTGGAGCGATTGTGACTGGACAGAGACCAGGTCCCCTAGGACAAAGTGGTGGATCTGGGCTTGGTCGAAGCCGTACCTACGAGTCTTGGACCGGGGCAGAGCGGGAGGGCAAATACCTGGGTACCAACCTTACTCTCCTCCACACCCCCTTCGTCTATTCCCATCTCACCCCCTATTTCTTGACGTGTATACTACACTCCCCTCGTTCATTCGCACCCCCCTCCCTTCACCACTCAGCTTGCGCCTGCGTTCTACACAGCTCAACGCAATGAGACGCTGGAACACAATGGCAAGTACTCCGTGGAATTGAAGCATACTAGAAGCTGGACCCTGGGTTGGAGTTGAGGGGTGAGTGAGGAGGATCCGCCGCGCCGCCGCCTGGCGGTTGTTTCGGTACCGCAACGCAGGTACCATCGTGATAGAGCACGCCATCACAACGCCATCGGCCTTTGAGTGCTGTTGAAGTTGGCGTTTTGACCTTGCTGTGGGAGGCTGTTGCTCAGTGAGCGGCAGCTGTCATTTTAGAAGCCTCTTGAGAACGGAATTGGCAAGATCAAAGTATGTGTGCGATGGAAATTATGTACGCCTTTCTCATGGTATTTGTATTCTGGAAGCTATCTCCATCAGACTTCCCAAGTCATCCCCATTCCCATGCAATCAGCCAATCTTGAGGCTTACACGTCCAAGAGACGATCCTATCTGCCTCCCAGTTTCCCTTGATTAACGCCGCATCATAAGTATGTATGCCCACAAAGTCGTCGTAGTTTGCTATTGTACAGGTTTACAGATCAGATAGACCATGCCACCACCGCCGCCGCCCCTATTCTCATCTCATCAGTCGTGATTTCCAAGCCCAGCTTGCCAGCCGGAGCAAGGGGGAAAAAAGAAAACACATGCGCTCACTCCGACATCTCTCTGTTTTGCGCGTGACTCGTGGTCGTGCTTCCCGAGTTCCCCTTGCTCGCTCTTTTTTTGGTGTTCCCTTTTTCACTTCCCCTGCAAAAAAAACTCCTGATGATCCATACCATCCAGCTCCGCAAGGCGAAGCAAGCTGCAGCAAAGTTGCAGTAAAGTAAAAAAGACACCCTTAAAACATGATCCACTCTACCTCGACACCGGGACCCCCGATGCACCTGGTCCAGTTGAACGGACCCCGGCGCATCGCCTCGAGCTTGACCGCCGCCGGGCTCCGAGGCTCATTGTCCTTCCACTCGCCCGCCCACAGCCTCTCCAGCACGTCGAGCGCGGCCAGGTTGTTCATGTAGCCAGAGCGCCCCATGATGTCGCGGCACTTGCTCCGGACAATGTTTTGCTGGAGCTCGTTGACGCACTCGCTGCCCGCGACGAAGAGCGGCCACAGGAGGAACTTCTCCGCCTGGCTGCCCGCCTCCAGGCTCGTGGCATAGTAGACCACCTGCGAGACCAGGTTCTGGAAG